GAGATGCAGTGTGCACTGTCGTATTTTGGGGGATTGCATTGAGTGACACATTTCCTGTGTGCTTCGCAAACGTGACTGTTTAAAAAAAAAATTGAAAAAAATTCAAGTCTCCGAGACTGAGAGTCTCTGATTATGTTAGCGATGCGTGCGATAGCAAATAAGTGCATATTTTTTCTTTAAAAACATTTTAGTCAACGTGAAAAAAATCCAGAAATTTGATAAGGACCATGTCATAATCACAGTGATATTTGCATACGTTTGTCTTGACCTCAAAGCGTGTACTAACATGCACGTTCAGAATTTAGAGTGCATCCACATACTGCCGTGCTAAGGAAGAACGCCGTATGAGCCCTCAGAGGTTGCCGAATTTCCCTAGACAAATCACGAATTTTCAGGAAAATTTGTAAATAATTTTTTCTTTTATTTTACGGAGAATTTTGATCTTAATTTGATCTTAATCGTCTGAAATTTTCAAAGGAAAATATTCATTAGTTTCTTCACAAATAAACGTTTTTAATAGAAAATCTGGCAACTCTCGAATGTTCATACGGCGTTTTCCCATAGCACGGCCGCATAGGAGTTCAGTCTCGCGACGCCTATTTCGCGGCAGAATGTGACAACGCTGCTTTAGTGGGAGCACTCCTCAAATCCAGATTTGACGATCATTAATATTAATATCACGGTAATCTACACCGTTCCGATGATTTAACACTCTACAATCAAGAGCTAGAGAGCTTTCCCAACAGCCTGAGACAGGAGACACTGCCCGCTCGTGGACCCTTTAGGTCGCCTATCTAGTCCCTAACTTCACCGCCTGCTTCCTATCTGCTTTCAACTGCTATTTTCAAACCACACCAAGAGGAACCGCATGGTAGATATCAGACTGCAATGCCATACTAAGAAAGATGAGAGCGTGATCAAAGCAAAGGGTAGCTTCAAAATTAGGCTAAGAGCGTGTCACTACTATTGCTAGAGATATAGAGAACGAGAATATATCGGTGACTGAAGTGCAAAATCTCGTACCTCCACTGTGTTTCAAAATTTCTGCTCCTGTTTCACTGTTTTGAAGAGGAACAATTGGATTGCATTTTGCAAAAAGGAGCCACTAGCATTGCAATGTTGCTAAGATTGTGCAACTTCTTTTGTCTTGGAGGAAAAACCTGATTATACCTTAATAGTTTCTATTTTACTCGCTAAAAACTGTAAATTTAAAGACAAAAATTACCATCTAAATTTCATAGTTTTTCACAATTTCCGCAATTTTATTGCAAAGGATGAAGTTGCACAATCTTAGCATCATTGCAATGCTAGTGGCTCCTTTTTACAAAATGCAATCCAATTCAACTTTATAGCTTGGAATGTATACAGCATATTCTACTGACCGAGAAGAAAAATCAAAGGAGTCTCAAAGGAATACGATGATTGGTTTTCTAAAGGAAAAATCAAGTATAATAGGAAGTCTGCAACGTCGCAAACGAAAGTGCGTGGCTCCGCACTTTAGCCTTCAATACATGTCGCAGCCAACATCAATCACCGGCAAATTGCAAGCTATTTATGTTGAAAAAGAAAGATGTACAGAATTAGAAGTAAAGAATCAAGATAGAAAGCACAGATTATTGTGCTTGTAATTCAAACAGACTTTTTTTTCTTCTTGGACGAATGGCACCAGCTGGCACATCAGGGATTGCCTGTAACGAGATCAGTAGCCATAGTTTGGTTTAGTTCGGATCGGCAATTAAACTAACAGCCGGCCAAGGCGGAAAGTATCACAGGATTTGAAGGCGCTCCGAACCGAGATCGTATTTTTGAAGTTTTATACCAATAAAACCTTCACTGTGATGAGAATTGTTTCAATTTGACGAGTTAGCACACAAACTGCTTGCAAATCGCCTATGATTGCTGTCTACCTGCAACATGCGTCGGAATCTTACAACAGCCATACATAAAATGTGAGTTAAGTATAAAAAACCAAAAAGAAAAAAGGAAGCAATAAAACACAGTTGAACCACAGCATGGAGTTTAATCAAAGAATGTAAACTAGCAATGCATTAGTTTAATATACGTTGAGCTGTCTATTTCCTGTATCAATTGGAATTAATTTCTATATTCGCCAGAATTACGAAGGGGTAGGGGTGAAGTTCTAACTTCGTCTGCCGCAGTCCCTAACTACTACGAAAAGGGGAGGATCACCTTTCCCTCCGTCTTCGTGCCTTTTCTCCTCTCCCTCTCATCCCTTCTCGCTATCTCTCATTTTCCTCCTGTCACTAACTCGTAATTGAGAGCAGAAAATAGAATATTACAATAATCTGAGACAAGTTGGTGAGGCAATCACTGGTGGATCAGGGGTCGTAAATACTTGCCAGATGACGAAAAATCGATTCGAGCTGTCACCGCTCATCGCACATTGTTCTGACCGAAGTTGTCAAACATTGCAATGACAAAATTTTATCTTGGAACTAGCATATCTTATTTTCGAATTGAACGCAGTTTGTAGGAATAAAACGGCACAAGTCACATTTTTTTTTGAAAGCATGAAAATGGAGTAATGTACCACAAAACATTTCCGAGGTTCCACCATTGAAGTTTTGGGATCACGACTACATACATCAAAATAGTAGTGAAAAAAAGGATCAGAAAGACGCACATCCATTTTTCCTTCTAAACCCCCCCCCCCCCAGAATAATGCAGATTTTGACGTTTGAAATTTTCAGGTCCAATCACACTGCTCCGAAGTTCCAATGAATTTCAGCTCTAAGAAACCCATCATTTCAAGAAAAGCTTTGCTTTTCTCTGAAACTTGTTGTGCCGTTTTGATCCCACATGCTGCAAATGAAATCCGAAGGGAAAGCTCCAGAAAAAGCACAACTTGATCAATGATTATCGAGTAAAATTGACTTTATTTATTCGCTTATCTAAACTTTATTTTTGATTTTCTGAGTCTTCGTGGCACTTACATCTGGTTGTGTTGGTTGACAACAGCGCTTCCTCCAAGTCGATCTCGAAGTCAAATCCAGAGCGACGCAGGTGACAGAGCGGGTGACACGGGTGCAATCTGAGTCGATCTGACGCAAACGTTGTTTTCAGCTTACGCCCCATTTCAGCCGCAAAACCCCTCTCCCCCACCCTTCCCCTTATCTATCGCCTAAACTGCTCCGCACATTAGAAATCAAACGTCGTTCATAGAACATCAAAACATTTTGATAACTCCTCCTCCTCCACCGTGCCTTCTCATTTTTTTATTGATGCAGTCTCTTATTGAATCATTCGAGTTTTCCTGTAATTTTTTCACGCAACAATTATTATCAGTAAAACTTTTTTTTCGCACGTGAGATCGTGTCGTCTGGTTGACTACGTTTCTCGGAGAGCATTAATCACAAAATGTGACTCAAATACGTGGAATTATCTTGAGTTGTTGTTCAATGATTACCAGGTTATCATTTTTTTTTTCGTTCCAATTTTTTTATCTCAATGTTTATTATGTTGCATTCGGTTCGGGTTAATCAACTCATCGCATAATCCCATATTTTAAGACCTGTCTTAATTCCCCTGGTAGAAAGTTTATTAAGTTCGCGAAACGAAAACAGAACAAAATGTAGCAAAGAAGCTCCGATGCTCTGAAACCTTAAGTACTCGTAGAGTCGCACGAGAAGTAGGTATACTGCTCCAAAAAAAAAAAAAAAAAAAAAAAAAACCAGAGGGTAGTTGCAATTGTTGATTTTTACTAAGCAAGAGAATCTTGCGATGAAAAATACTTCAAAGAAAGGACGAGGGGATTACACATTTGTTTTCTGTACATCATTCTGCATGGCAATTGCCTTAATTTTACCTTTCACACCTAAATTCCCTCGTTTCAGACTGTATTCGTATTGATTCAAAAAGATGTCTTGTCGCTTTAAAGAGATATCTAGTTGGTTCATCGAGGAATCATGTCACAGCAGTTTTAGTAGGAAAATTGTGCAATAAGAAACTTCTATTTCTGGCTCATTTGAAAGACAAAATTTGTGCCAATAGATTCGCCATGCAAAAAGGTGTTCTTACGGATGAGCCAAAAATAGTATTTCCTTTTTGCGAAGTGCAGTCCAGTCGACAGTCCGTACATTTTCTCAGAGCGAAGCTGACATCCATGTAATTTTATTCCTCTCGAAATTTTAGATCATCAACGGTGCTGACACTGACGGAATCAGCAGCTTCATTTTATGAATCTGCCACTCCAAAAAAAAAAAAATCAATATTACATGAATCGAGAGAGTTATCACAACATATGATCCAGCGTTGTCAAAAATTGCTCTAACATTTCATTAAATTAATTTTGCAATACACCTCCCGTTGGACTATCAAGTTTAAGGATTTTGCCAATTGCTTTCGAAAAAAAATTCAAAGAATTTTTCGAATAGTTAGTCCAACAATGCACAAAATCAAATAGCAGAAAATCAATATCAGAATTTAAGGCGGCGGCTGTAAAAGACAGCCCTTACGAGAACCTCGTCTCATACAAGTACAAATAATTCAAAAATCTTTATGACGCTCATAATGCATGAAAACTCATCCTTTTTCTCTAAAACAAGACGAGTAATGGGAAATTTTTAACTTCAAATGCATTTTCCCCAAAACCAGGTTTTCGCGCATGAGTGTTTATGCAGCAGTCTCCTAAATTGGCAAATATAAACAGCGCTTGTGTTGTTTTTCTAGGAAGGAGGCAGTTCCGTCCTATCAGCGAGATAAAGCAGAAGCCAATTTGATCTTATCAGATTAGTAGCGTCTCAGCTCATCAATCTTACGTTTTAATTAGCACCGGCCGAAGTACTCATCTGCCCTTGAAACCACTCGCATTTATAAAATGCCATCATCAGAAAAATTGCACCCGACACCTGCCCACAAAAACTCGCGCATTTCAACCCCATGTGAAGGTGTCGGTGAACTTCCACCGCCGGTAGTTACCGCGACACCCGCAAGAGCGCACCCTTCGCGTCCGCGTGCCGCGACGGAGCGCGCGGCGCCAGTCTCACGATTTTGTCAATGCGCGTAGGACGCTGTGCTGCGAGTGTCTCTCGGCATTTCGTAAACACGTTTTTCGCTCGCGACCGGCGCGCTTTCTTTCGTGGTTTGTTTCTTCTACTGGAAATTGTGGATTTCTGTGTTGTATCTCGTGTTGATAATCATGATCGAATTTTTCGTTTCGCTCTTATCGAAGTGTCCATCTTGAAATTCGCTAATCGTGGTATGTGATTTTCGAAGTGTGTTTTCTTGATCAACCAGCCACCGGATTGTGGCTTTACCGCAGGATATCAGTTCAGTGATCTTTGCTGTGTTTAATCATGGTTTTCCAGATTTTATTGTGTGTCATGTGATTGTTTTCTAGTAGTCATCTGCTGAAACTTCAAAATGGATACCAACACTATCATCGAGGGGACTGTCAAATTCCGGGACAACAAAAAGGTAGGCACGGTTTTGTTTACTTACCTCTAATTCTTTTCTCATTGGTTTCAGGTTAAAAAACTTGGCAAATAAGGTTCCTTTCACACAGGTGAAAGGGAAAAGTTGATTGACCGTGCTTATGAAAGACCATTTGACTCTCATTGAATCGTTTCGTGAGAAAATTGCTTTGCTCATTTTTCTAGTCTTGAGCTTTTTGAGACTGACTGTACCTAGGTACTTTTCAGAGATGGATGCTACCATGAAAATGGTACGTTTGTACTCATTTTAGAGTAAGTGATCATAATCCTAGAACGAGTGAACCGTATTCATTATTGTACTAACTCTTGAGAAGTATATTACTAACACTAAAAACGGAAAGTAAGAGAAATGGACATGAAGTTACGGGTTTTGCACGGCACGATTCGATAGAGGAACGCCGGCCGTGATGTTAGGGGGATTTGCAACGTCTCAGATGCACCTATCGAATTATCTATGGCCAAAGTGCGAAACCACGTATCTCCATTTTCGGTTCGAAATTTCTGCTTTTAGTTTAATTTTTGAAAGAGAAACAAGCCAACTTTTCAGCTTGAAACTTACACTGGATACTTAGGTATTCTGTCAGAGGGAGAATAATCATGAAAGTTTCCGTGAAATTAAGTACGTCAACTACTTAGTTTTCCTAAGAAAAAATAACGGGAAGTCTGCAACATTGCAAACGGAGATACGTGGTTTCGCACTTTAGCAATCGATTTGTGCTTTCGAACTTTTTAATCATTGAACTGCGCTGCCATGCTAAGGGAGAACGCCGTATAAACCATCAGCCATTGCAAAATCTCCTTCGACGAATCATGAATTTTCGGGAATTTTTTTTCATATATTCCTCCGATTTTCTCAGAGAATTTTGGTCTAAATTTGATCTGAAAAGTCTGGGAATTTCAAGGGAAAATAATCATACCTTTCTTCAAAAATAAATACTCTCCAAGAGAAAATTTGGCAACTCTGGAATATTCATATGGCGTTTTTCCTCAGCACGGCAGTGCAGTCATTCATATTGATGTAGGTACCAGGAGCAATCGGTATTGTAACCCATGGGATGAAACAGCTTTCGACGACGAGTTTATCGTGATCTCGTCTTTTCTCCAATGCTGCTGAGCCGTCGAAAGCTCGCCAGTCGTAAACTGTAAGATGCGAGACCTACCCCATGCAGTGGAGGCGAGATGGAGTATTTACAGAATAAACTCCTTTCGAGTCGAGTTAGAAACAAATACGGTGCATCGCTTTTTTTCAGCTCATAAATTATTTTCCTTGCGGTGCAGTTGTCGAACTACCCTTTCGTCGTCCTCCGGAGCTTGACGCCAAAATGGCGCTAACAAGCTTTTCTCGTTTCCTTTTTCCCCTATTTTCTCTCCGCTTTTGTTTTTCCGCTCTTCTCCCGCTCTAACCACTTCATTATTCGGACCGAATTAAGCAGAAAGGGTTTTAGTAGGAACGATCGCGGATTTTTTTTGCTCTTTTAAAAAAAAAACTTGTGAATTTTAGAAAAGAAAATGTAAAAAACTTAAATTCTACCTACTAACACTTTGACACTTTTTCAAATTCAACTCGCAACTGGACCGCGTTAAGCAGAAAGAAACCAAGCCTTATCGGTTATCGCCAAATTTACTCAGGCAATTGATTTTTTGACATGAACACGGATGTGCGAATTTGTGTGCAAATTTCAGTGAATTTGCTGTATAGTACGAAGCGAATTCCTTACAATTTTCGAAGGAATTTGCACAAACGTTCTCTTATTAAAAATTGAATTGCCCAGCTAAAGTTGGCAATACCTGTTGTGGCTTGGTTTCTTTTTGCTGATGTAACAGGAACATCGTTTTTGGTTTGAGTTAATTCACACTTTTGCTCACAAACAACTGAAGTCCACTCGAGTCAAATTGAGCATTGAACTTATTTCGGCACACTTCTAGATGGGAGAGTTCTCCAGGTGTGCTGTTTTTGGTTTTGCCCCACGCCGCCGTGCTTAGGAAGAACGCCGCATGAGCTTTTATACGTTACCATTTTTTCTTCCATAATATTCGATTTTTTCAGACAGTTTTTTTCGCAATTTAAGTAGTCTAAGTAAATTACCTGAGAATTTCAAGGAAAAATATGCTTAAATATGCTTTCTAAATTAACACATTTTATTCGAGGAAATTTGGAAACATCCGCATAATGTTCATACGACGTTTTTCCATAGCACGACAGTACATACGTAGATCATGGTTTTTGTAAAGTGAGAAGTTAGAATTTACGGAAACTACTTACGCATGACATGCTTTTGAAACTTTTCAATATATTCAACGTGTTGTATCCATGTGAAAATGAAGGAGCATGATGCTTGGACTTTCATTTCTTTCCCTGTTTAGTGGTCCATAGTGAGTTTTGCAACCCTCCGTCAATCGTATTAAACACTTAAATTACTATCTTCCTTCACGTATTTGTATATAATTTCATTACCGAGCAATTTTTTGAATTCCGCGTTCAGGAGACAACGAAATGGACTTAAAAATAAGACCTGGACAGTCCTGGCGAGCCTGGAGGGAAGCACGGAGAGAAACAAGGCGTAAAGAGCATCGCAGTAAATTGTAAAATAATTCGATTACTCCGCTTTTTAGATTTCTTTTAGTCTCATGAATGGAGAACGTAATTCCAGCTACGAGTTCTCTAGTCCACGGCAAGCGACACTGTTGCCATTCGGGATGCAATTAAGCGCCCAGAGGCGTGGGAGGGGCTCGAGGTCTCTCATTTTAAGAAGAGCATACTTAAGTCGTCGTTCCCTTCACGAAAGAACTTAACTACATTTCAATGTCGTCAAATGTCCCCTCGGAAATTGCGTTGTTACCAAATCTTGAACGTTTCTAACTGAACACTCCATCTCTCACGGAGAAAAATGCACGTTTTTAATTAAGTGCTATTCATTCTTGTTAAAAATCGAACTGTTCGAGTCAATTTTGGAACTTTGGAATGGAGGTATGGTCCTTTGTCTGTCCGGAAAACGACAAATTAGGTCTTTTTTTTTTTTTTTTTTTTCTTTTGTTCTGTTCGTTTTATTCACTAGCAAACTGATTATCAAAATTGATAGACAAAGTGATAGACAAACGAGGCAAAACGGAAATAAAGCGATCCCATCGGCGGAAGCGGGTTGTGGAATGCACACTGTGAACAAGCAACAGAACTACACTCCTATAGTCAGTCCATCATTTTCTCATTACGTCAGTAAGAACCAACCATTTCGACCGATAGGATCACTCCACATTCCTTACGTTTTCTTTGTCTATTGCTTTATCGATGAATTTCAATAATCAGCCCGATTATGGTGATTCGACAAGCGCGTTTCGATTTTGCGGAGGCATAATACTTTCCTTCCCCATTGGCGGCAACATCGAGAGGCGTCGGCGTTTATCACGATTTGTTCCATCTTTTGTCATTATTTTGTCAGGGCGAACTTTTTAGTCAGCCCTGCGACCCCACCCCCCACCCCCTTTCGCGATACAGAGCCCATGGTACTTCACGCGATGGCTCTGTGCAATCCAGGGCATTGTTGCCGAATCTGTCAAATTGTCCTCATTGTCCCAAATAAACCTTGGGTTCTGCTGGAAAACGAGCCCAACTTCTTTCAACCTGTTCGATCTAGCCAAGTGCCATCAGAAGCTTTCCTTATCGACACGTGGTTCGACCTCCGACGGACCACTTCGTGTCAATAAAAAATACTGAATTAATTATTTTCCACGACTGAATACTAATTTTTTAGAAAAACTTTAAATATACTTCCTTGAAATTCGCAGTTAATTTTGTTATCAATGTGATGAAAAATTCTCTGCAAACTTAAGTAAAAGAAGGAAGTATTTCCAAGTTCCTCCTGACATTCATACTTCATCGACTGAAATTCGGCCGCGTCCAAAAGCTCGTTCGATGTTCTTCGTAGCACGGCAGAGCTGTACTTGGATCGCGTGTAACCGAAACGCACCAATTCCAATTTTAGAAAAAATGAGTTCGAAAATAGTAATTGAATTCATCTGATCGTACGTATAAATTTCGCCCTGGTACCTACCAATACGTCGCTTGGCTGCGTAAGGGCGAACCTACACTTGAAGCTGAGCTCGGGAAAGCACTGAATTTTATGGACAGTCGGGTTCATCTCGATAGCCCCCTAGTTACGCCTCTACGTACACCAAGAGGACGACGAAAAGTTCAAAATCGAAAAAGAAAAAAAAATATTTTCAACGCGAGAACATTCGTTAAATATTGTCCTATACATTCATTCGTTTTGGATTTAATTATTAATCAATACCTAAAGATTAGACTTGAAGATTATACTTTTTAACTTGACAAATTTGATTGCATTTTGCAAAAAGGAACCACTAGCATTGCAATGATGCTAAGATTGTGCAACTTCATCCTTTGCAATAAAATTGCGGAAATCGTGAAAAACTATGAAATTTAGATGGTAATTTTTGTCTTAAATTCACAGTTTTTAGTGAGTAAACTAGAAACTATTAATGGATAATCGGGTTTTTCCTCCAAGTCAAAAGAAGTTGCACAATCTCAGCAACATTGCAATGCTAGTGGTTCCTTTTTGCAAAATGCAATCCAATTAATGTTATCACCTATTTAAGTAGGTAAATCTTCTATCAACTTAATAAATTTACTTAATTTTTTAAAGGCCTGGATACGTGCTCAAATTTCCATCAATTTCCGATCAAATGGTGACCGGTACGCATTATTTACCATCAAATTTTTTCGGCCCGCAAAAATTTAACCGCCGTTTTTGTCATCATTTTGATCGGCAATGACGGAAATTTGAGCGTGTATCCAGGCCTCAACTTCAAAAGCTAACGCTTGATCTTCTTCAAACTGTTTTCCTTGTCCAAACTCGATTAAAATCAGTGCTTGTTTGTCAGACTCGGCCCTCTTGGGGTCAAACAGGAGATTTGACAACGTTGCTCTAGACTGAAACGGGCCGAAACGCGACTTTCCCGTGTGCA